ATGTGTACGGGACTTGGAAGAGTATAAAAGCTGTATGCAGAGCTATAATAAACAGCTTCTGGAGATCATATTGGTCGGCGTCAGGAGACTGGTCTTCCACACTATACTATGAACAAGATGCTAGACAGTAACTTGTTAAAATGTCTAAAACACAACTTGGCACCCAGAACCTACTGCTATAGAAAAGATATTTAATAAAATAAAAATAATGCAATTGAACCTGACTTGACTGAAAAAAAATGCTCACACAATGGGCTCCAAAGAACTATAAAATAATTTTTAAATCTATACTTGGCCTTGTGTAAGTTAAACAGCTACAAGATTATTTTTTTCATGCATCTCATTGTAAGGTATTATTGAGGTACAAAGGATGATAAGGCCTGGGAAAAATCCTTAGCAGCACCAGGCAATCTGCCTTTACTGAAGCAAACAGTACAGGTGTTATATGTGCAAAATGAAAGATAGCAAAAAGGGAGTTGTAACAGGGAATCGCTTAATAAGGAAATAGTGTATTATCAATTGGCCAGTGATTCTTTTAGGAATTTTTTTCAAATACAGTTGACTAAAATCCTCTTCTTGATTCAAAGATTTCACCTTAGGCCACTTCGCTCTGTGTTACACCAGCTACACACACTATACCTTACACAAACTACGCACATACCAAACATATACCAACAATACCTGGCTTTCCAGACAGTGGGAAGGATGCAGAATTATAAGCCTGAGTACACACTAAAAGTGATAGAAGTTATCTCCAAATCCACCATTTCTACAACAACACCTGTCAAGTTTTATAACTATGAAAAATAACCTACTAGACCCCAAAAAGATGCAGGAGGCAGAAACAGAAATGTTCACAGATTTGGCTCCATGTGGCAGTAACAGATGACTAGCCATGTGGCTTGGGAGTGCTCTTAAAAAAAGAGTAACATTCACTTCCCAAATCTTAAGAAGAGCAATGTTGTGAATCTTTTCGGAAAGCACACTGTAAATTTGCAAATATGGTTACTCTCTGTGCACTGATAAAGAAATCAACACCTCAAAAGAAGGCAAGTTTTTTTCCCAAGGTTTGAAAAAATGCAAAGAGAACACAAAAAGAATCTTTATCAGCATGTCAGTTGATGCTTTGATTTCTGGAATTTTTCCAGGAGAAAACTCTGGGGGAAAAACCCTTTACACTCTATAACAAAGCAGCTTAATCTTAAATGGTCCAAACTGGCTGCTTTTTAGAACAAAGATGCTGAACTGAAACAAAGACCTAAATACAATATTTCTACACAAATAAACAATTATTTAAGTAGAGAAATTGAAAAGCATAATCAAAACCTAATTTCAAGATGTGGTAATGCTTAAAGGCCGCATAAAAATTCCAATATCCCACTGATTCTTATAATCTGAATGCAATCCCTCTGACTTCAATACACCTCTAACAGTCAGTTTGTACAATGATCAATGAAATGTGTTGAACCACACTGGAAAACAGGATGTGACTGCAGAATGCTTTTTCATTTCAGCATATTAACAGAAACACTAGTTTGGCTTAGATTTATCTTTCTCTATCAGGGAAGATGAAATTTCATTAAACTACTTCTGCTGAAGTGAGTAAGAAGAACAATCTGTGAATGAAGAATGCATGTGAATAATTAATGTCATGGCCACTGAGTTACTATATCCCAGCCAAGAGAATTATTGGATGTAATGGGAGGACTTGCTAACTAAGCCAGGACCCTGTTTCCTAAATATTGCATGTACAATAAATAGGAAATGGTCATTGCTGCAACAGCCAAAGATAAAGGATAGATAGACAAATGAGAATATAATTAATGTTATATCAATTTTCCATATCTGGAAATTATTCCAAATGGTTTCCTGAAAAGCATATGAAGTCTACGACAAAGTTCAGAGTTCAGTCCAGAAGTCGTGAGTCCACCCTCCTTCTCTATTTGCTAAAGGTTATGACTGTATAAATTTGGCCTTCATAGTTTCTTTTTTTTGCAGGAATCATATATGCAAAGTCCTAAGATCCACACAGACTGACTGTTTTCAAGCATCCTCTGATACTTCAGGTGATCAGTTATCCTACTGAATAGTTCCATTGATGTAAGTGCATGGTTTTGGCATGAAGCATGAAATGATTCAGGAAAATTGCTGCAATGTAGGCGTGCCTGACCTCGTCTCACTGGTCTATACATTATGTAGGAAGAGGATTTTTTTAGGTGGGAGAAGTGAAACTAATTAAAAGAAAATCTTGGTCAAAGACCCAAGAGATACTTACACCAGTGAGCTCTGTTGAAGGAAATCTCCAGAAGTGTTCCACTGTTTCAGTCAATAAAATCTAGCCTGGATATAAAGATCATTAGAATTGGCCTTTAAAGATCATTATGGCCTTGAGAGAAGTAGGTAATGCAGGAGGTTCTTTATAATAGTATGAATCGAGGCGGGAAAGCTATTTTTAGTCAGCAATTTTGTATTTGGGTTTTCAATTTCAACTACTGGGAATGTGGAGAGCTGAAAATATTGCTTTAATATCTCCCCAGCTGTGGACTTTTTCTGATAAGATGGAAAATATTAATATCACCTTATATGTATGCAGCTGCCTTTGTCCCAGAGGATCCTAGGACATTGACAAGCTATTCATAAAGAAAAGTATATTCACTCAATCATAGATTGCAGCAATCAGATATTAGTCAGGAATACAAAACCAGTTAGAATAAGAGACTAAACAAGGACATTTGGGGCACTGATCTCATATGCAAACCCCTGTGCTTACAGCGTATGATTAGACAATCCTTAAAGTCAATAACTCAATTATTCTACAGCTGGATTTGAAAAGTAAAAGGCACCAGAAAGGGAACAAAAATGGAGTCTTTCCTGAGATGGTAGAAGATGCAGAATACAGCATTTATAGTTGATAGTAATTTTTAATCTGGATGTTCCTAAACAAGAATGTGCAAGATAGATGTGAAGGATCAATATGGAAGATTTTAAAGAGATGGAACTGGAATTGTTTTAAGGCAGAGGAAGAATATTGTGAAACGATAACTATAGAACAATTCCATGGTGGCTCTCATGTTGCTAAATAACCATGTTATTTAGTTATTTAGAAAACAATTAAGTTCTTACTGAACCAAGATCTTCTCTGCAGACCCGTGCCCACAGTACATCTGGTTTTAACGGAACATTATGAGAGTAGCAAATGAAATCCTGGAAATAAAACTATATTCACCATTCAAATTTTCTCCTTCATACCTGCTGCAAAAGTTTGAAAGGAGGATTGATTCTCCATTTCGATTTGTTCAGTCCTCTGTTTCAGCTGCAATGGAGCCATGAAAGGCAGCGTGCTTGCATGCACGACAGACTCGACAATTACATAGCACAGGTGCATCATAAAATTGGACTAGAAAGCAAAAACTTTGTATTGTGGATACAATTTTGTCTTTTGAATGCTCCTTTGCCCAGCACCAGTGTGTATATAGCTAGCAACTAACATCCCAAATAGACCCAAATATACTGCCGTGAATGAGTGGAATGCACCTCACTCAAAAGAGAGAAGCAATGTTTTATTGAGGTAGAATAATTATTTGACAGGGCTCAATAAATTCAATGGAATTTAACAAAGTTTAACAGTGGTTTACCAAGGTTCAATAAGTTTGATGGCAAGATTCACTTTATTAATTACTGCACAGAAGAAACATACAAAGGAAAATTAAGTTAGAATGGAGTTAGAATGATTCACACAAAGACCAGAGGTGAAAATTATAAGAAAGACCCCCTTGTTGAGTCACAAGGTTCAGAGTGGATCCCCTTGCTTTCTAAACTCCTGATGGAACTTAGTTGCAGCTAGGTCCAACCTTAGTCTCAGACTTGGACAACATTTTATGTTTAATGGAATTACCTACACAAAGTTTACAGTAGTTAATGTTGAATAGCTACATGTATTAGTAATATTTCATTAGTATTAACTCAGCATGCTATCAGTTGCTTACCAAAGATCTGCCACTGGTAAAATGTCTCTCTTTGAGAGGTCTCTCTCTCAATCTTGAGAGGCATCCTGGTTCAAGAGGAGATCACTGCCACACTGCCTAGCAGGGAGAGCTCAAAGAAGGCTCACTTAGGCTGTCATATTTATGGAATGAAGTGGTTGGCTTGTAGTCAAATGACATGTGATGGAAAATGTATGCATGAGACTCCTTGTATCCACAACTTTTTTTGTTCATTGATAAATGAGTCTTGGGAAAAGCCACCACTATTCATGTGTCAATCGCATGATCAGTATTCCAAGCTCATGTGCACCAATGCTTATGATGCCACTCTGCTCCTTTGGGGTGTTTTGGAGAACAGATTGAAACTAGAGGGGTTCATGGCCTGGCTACGGCTCAGGCTTTCACCTCTTCTGCAGCCTGTACCAAACCACTGCTAGTTTGGTTAAGGGATCAAGTGCATCCGTCACATATACAAAGGTGATTTTGGTCCGTACTGGCAGAATCTCATTCCTCTTACTTTACAGCAAATGACTGTTCTCCCAACTCCCTTCACACATATGCTCTGTATCTACCCTGTCTGCACCAGCGCTGCTCCCATTCTCCTTATTCTTTCATCTACTTAGTCCTTCCTTAGCCTTTCTCAGCTCTTCTCTTAATCCTGGTGTTTTTCACATACCATGCTGATGTCTGTGAGGGCTGCTACAGAACCATCTTCTTTCTCAAGTCTTGTGTTTTATATAGGAAGAAGGAAGCAAAAAATAAATCCCTTTGCTCAAAAGCCAGAGACAGAAATAAAACTAGGGCTGGCTTCTTTCTTACTTCATTGTCACCACTTTACAGTAAAGGTATCAGCTTCTAAAGTATGCACACAAAAGAAAAACAGATCTAATTGCTGTTTCCTAGGAAGGGCAATAGAAAAGGTGACTAAGCAGAGGTTGTATTTCTTGAACAGTGATGCTCCTTCTCATACTATTGGAAAACTGGCTCAAAGCTTGGCCAGTTTTTCATGAGAAAAACATGACTTTTGACAATGTCCAGGTAAAATCAGCCTTTGCTATCATCAGCATCAGAAAACCATTCCCTGGATATACACTGTCTTTGCTGTTGGTATCTTCCTTGCTTTGCCTTGAGACCTGGTCAAGGTCAGATTGGAACCAGCAAAGTAGCAGAAGGCAGGTTTGAATGTACCAGGGATGAAAAACACAGCCCTCAATCCAAGAAGGCTCAGACAAGTCCGGCCAGGGAGGTCAACAAGAGCAGCTGTGTTGAGGAGAACTCTGCCTAACTCCCCATAAATGTCCAGCAGCAACTTGGCCAAGCAACCCCAATGCTATGGAAGGGCAGAGGTCAGAGTCTGCTGCAGTGTTTTTCTAGCCACACCAACAGAGTTGGGAGATTGGATGCTTCAAGAGCCATGCATCTCCAAGAATATGTTCCCCTGGGTAGTCAATCACCCTGAACAGGTGTAAAATTCAGAGTGCACATTTGTGTTTGTGTGTGTTTGCATACATGTGTGTCTGTGTGTTTCCCCATGGGTCCTGCACATTTTTCCCCTCTAATTTGATCAGCTACTCTGAATACAAACTAAATTGACTGTGGCTTATATCTGACCAGTTACTCTTTTGGATAACAGCATAACGTTCACAATATGATTATTAGTGATGCCTGTGATAAAGTTATAATGTGGTCTTATGAGGTGGTGGTGTCCAGGTTGAGAGGGAAAGTCAGGGATTAAGGCTCCACCCTTGGTTGCTCTTCTGAAGAGCAGGAGAGCACTCCAACCCTCATTTTCAGCTTTTAGAAAATGTAGAGTATTTCTGTTAGCTCAAATTCTATAGGAAACTAGTGTTGCTCGCTTTTGCTTTTTCCAGCAAGCTGAAGCAAAGTTTCCATTGCTGCTGTTGCTGTTCTGTATCTGAATGCAGCTGGCCCTGCAAGGAGCACTTATACTAACCAAAGTTTCATCACTCTGAACTGACAACTATTAAGCAGAACTTGGTGTTCAAGCAGTGCAGTATTTGCTCAGCTCAGACTCAGCCTTGAGCATGTAAATGATCAAAAGCCTGCAGAAGGCAAAGAAAGTAAACAAATACTGTGTTACTGTTATTTGCACTCTAAATAGAATAACAACTCTCAAGGTCAGAAGGTTGAGTTTAGATGTTAGATTTTTAAAAAGCAGTTTTCTGTTTCTAGAGAAAAGCAAGAGAGTGACATAGCCAGTATCATATCTGCCCCCCTCTGAGCCCCTAAGCTGGCTGACCAAATACCCCATTACAGTCAAGTCAAATGGGGGCTTAACTTTGCCAGACAAGCCAAACAGCTCAGGCCTCATAATGAACTTCTGTAGAAGGCAACATAGCAATACATTTTAATTGCTCTACCAGTGTACCACAATCCTAATTCTAAAAATAATGACATTCAGATCATTAGAAAACTAAACTGTGAACCCTCCAAAAAAAGAAATAAAATTAGGTTGGGCAGAGTACATGATCATCCAAGCATAACCTGAAAATACCATCTCAATGTAACCAATGTAGTGTTGCATTCTATATGAATACATCCTTATGCAAGTGAGTAATGTGAACTCCCATGTCATCTCCTCAATTGCTAACTCTGAAACCCCGAATGACAACTTAAATGTCAGCACTGTTAATTATTTCTCTACGAGCTATTTCAACAGAATATTCATTTAATGTGCTTGAGACAAAAAAGTAAATCTTAAATTTATGCAAGATTACAAAAGTTCCAATTAACCACCCTTCAGCTGCCAAATTTAAATATGACCAAAAGCAGCTTCTACAATCCTTATCACATTTCATGCCATTGAAAACTAAAATTGTAGAGATATCATAAAACAATTTAAATTTAAGGTGAAGCAAAATGAACAATTTGTTTCCTGTAATCCCTTCAGACAGTACAAACTCAAATTTATGCTTTAGAGAGCTTATTTTTTCTATAACTTTCCTATTTTAACTAGAATAATTTTTCATAAATCCTTATGTCAGTGTGGCACAACGTAGCAACTGAAGCAACTGTGGCACAATATATAGCAACAGATTAAATGCACAATTTAACAGACTTCTTTTTTAAATTGCAAACAAGATCACAGACAAGAGACTATTCCATTTTATATTTATAAGTAAAAACAAGTTAACCAATAAATATTCTTATCTATAGAGCACTATAAACCATCCCCAAGCTACTAAACCATAAAGTATTATGTTTTTGCTGCAGTAGTGAGAGCTACAAAGGAAAGACTGCCATGCTAAAAGATGTTGCAGTAATGCTAAACATTATTATGAATTTCCAGAAAAACATAAGCAGAAAGCTTTGAAAAAGAGATTTTTCTTTTGTGCATACATTATCTAGCATTAGATAGATGAGATTCAACAAGGCCAAGCACTGGGTCCAGCATTTGGGTCACAACAACCCCATGCAACACTACAGGCTTGGGGAAGAGTGGCTGGAGAGCTGCCTGGCAGAAAAGGACCTGGGGGTACTGGTTGACAGCCGGCTGAATATGAGCCAGCAGTGTGCCCTGCCCAGGTTGGCCAAGAAGGCCAATGGCATCCTGGCTTGTATCAGGAATAGTGTGGCCAGCAGGAGTAGGCAAGCGATCGTGCCCCTGTACTCGGTACCGGTGAGGCTGCAGCTCGAATACTGTGTTCAGTTTTGGGCCCCTCACTACAAGAAAGACGTTGCGTTGCTGGAACCTGTCTAGAGGAGAGCAACCAAGCTGGTGAGGGGTCTGGAGCACAAGTCTGATGAGGAGCAGCTGAGGGAGCTGGGGTTGTTCAGCCTGGAGAAGAGGAGGCTGAGGGGAGACCTTATTGCCCTCTGCAACTGCCTGACAGGAGGGGGGAGTGAGGTGGGGGTTGGTCTCTTCTCCCTGGTAACAAGCGATTAGACAAGAGGAAATGGCCTGAAGTTGTGCCAGGGGAGGTTTAGATCAGATATTAGGAAAAAATTCTCCACCAAAAGGGTTGTCAAGCACTGGAATGGGCTGCCCATTGGAAGTGGCTGAGTCCCCATCCCTGGAGGTATTTAAGATGTACGGACGTGGCTCTTAGGGACATGGTTTAGTGGTGGACTTGGTAGCATTAGGTTAATGGTTGGACTTGATCCTAAGGGTCTTTTCCAACCTAAATTGTTCTATGATTCTATGATTATTTTTGTCATCATTAAAGCATGACGCGGAAAGATTAACCTGTAATTGTCACAGCAACAGTCCTAATGGCACCTTTATCCCCTTTCTACATTCTCTCAGAGCACTACCATTAGTTTTCGGGTTACCTATTACAGGATAAATTCTTACAATTCTCCACTTTTAGACTAGGTCCCAGCCTACAGTATGACTTATCAATCCGTTTACCCAGCAAATCCAAGCTCTTTCTGTTCTTCCCTTCAGTGATCTCATAAGCTGCTTAAGAAAAGAGTAGTTTTCAGTTTAAACTAGAAACAAAATATTTAGAAACAGCGCTCTGCCTCTATGTCTGTATTATGTCAGGATTTGTCACCTCTTCCCAGTAAATTAGTTAGGCGCCTTCAGAATCCTCAGGCAGATTTTATGCCTCTCTAATTTTCATAAATGGAAATCCCTCTTGCAAAGGTTCTTTTTTAAATGTCATTCTTCTCTTATTGCTCATGTCTTAGGGATTTTTTCACAGGTTTTATTGTCTCTCAGTGACTTCTACATATTTGTTGATGGATGGCTTATACCAAGCTATTCCTTTTCTTTTCTGTCTGTCACTTCTAACACAGCCTCTGTAAATTAAGTTGGTATGATCATAAACATCCAAACTAACATACAGAATGTAATTATTAAACTATTATAGAGCTGCTATGAATCCATCGCATAAATACCACTAAACCTGTGTGATTTCTTATGAGAGCTACACTCAGCCTACTGCAACAAAATGTTCAATCAAATTTGTCATCTCAGATTGCTAGGTAAGGTGTGAACATATCCTATAAATAAAAACTGTATTTAAAGTTAAATACACAAATGCACTTAGCTTCTACCTACCATTACATGCTATACTACAAAAATAACATGTCTTGAAGAATTCAAGTGACAAATATCTAGGAAGGATAACCAGCAGGTATATAATAATTTATCACTTAAATTACAACTCAATTATGCTACTCCCTTAACACCACTTCTTTTATTCTGCTCTGGAAATATGCTATGTTAAATTGTATATTATTCATTTATTATTAGAAATGTACCAAATTATCAGAATTATTATTAGACTAAAAGCATTTTGCTTTACTTAGGACTTCTTTAAATCTGATATTGCAATTTGGTGGTGGAATGGATTTGCTAATAGAATTAACGTTTCCTCTCAGCAAACTCTAAAATAGCTATGTGCTTCACAAATATTATCGACGAGACCTCGACAACTTCATGTAATGCCCACACCAGTAACAAAAGACATCTTGTATGGCAAGACTCACTTTCCATGGTCCTCTCCAAAACAGGAACGTCTGTGGCATATATTCTGTTGGTGACAGGATACCTGTCAATAAGGTGTTGCAGTGCGACATGAGAAAAAGCAGAAAATAAATTCAGAGTTACAGATATTGAAAGGTCAACCTTTCTCTTTACACTACTTCTTCCAGTTTTTCTGCTGGCATTGTTAATACAACCTTGGTGCATGCATCCCAGGACCAGGCTGAGCATGGGGCATGCTATTGCAGGTATAGAACTTTACACCCCCTGGATCATTACTTGGCTTTCCCTATACTCTCTTGTTACCAGCTAGTTGTGACAGTGGGTATCTTCCTAGCTAATTCCCGTTGGTTTTATATGAATATCAATGTTGTACCTTGTTTTGTTTGACATTTGGTCATACCCTATTGTGTCCCTGCCCTGATCTACCTCCTTTTTTTCTGCAGAAATGGGCTTCTAGCTTTCCATTAATTTTAATCTATAAAGTGATTTGAAAGTAGCTTCCTTTTTTTCTTTTTTGGCTGGCTATCATAATTTGTAAAGCATGTGTAAAGCATGTTCTTTAAAGTCAACAAGTAAAAGTTTTGGGTCTCATAAGACAAGCTCTAGTCAAGAGATGATGTGGATGAGCAAAAGCAAATAAGAAAATGTCAACAATTTGATATGGGAATTTTTTAATATAGAGAATGAGATATTTAAAGGCACGTCAGGGAGTTAGAAACACAACTCTGGCTAATGGCAGTGGGAATTGTCCATCTAAAAAGCTTTGAAAATGTTGATATGTAATTTTAAAGTTATTTTCTGTATTTGTTTAAGTTGTCCCCCTTCCCCCCCAATTCTGTTTAGACATGATAGATGGAAGTTAAATTTCTGAAAAACTGATTACCACTGAAAGACGATGAGACAGGGAGGAAATTAAAATATATGCACTGGGAATATGGCTGAAAAGTTCACTTCAGTTGCTCCAGATGAACAAATGGAAACTTGCTGGTAGTTACATTAAAAATTGTTTCTAGTACATAATGCTTTAAATCATCCTAAATTCAAGTATTCAAAATAAATAATCCTAAATTTCACTTTTTAAAAAATAAAATCTTAAATCTTATCAGGAACTTCCCTGAAACTCTGCATATAATTTTATTTTTATCTTTCATTTAAGAAATATTTTCCATAATTCATAACTTGAAACAGTATTTCTGCTGACATGAAAACCATCTGCCTTAGCACAGTAGGTAGGAATCAAATGAAATAGATTATTCCTTAGAACCAATATTAAAAATGCAGTTCACTTGGCTGATTTAAGAGTCCAAGCAAAACAAACCAAAAGCTTGAAATTTAGTGTATATAAATAGACTAGCAGCTCCCGAAAAAGCTCCCTGCAATTTCAGGACAATAAAGACAAAGTGAATTGTACCGTCCTGGTAGAAAAATGCCCTGGTGTTTGAAGAGCTCTAGCAACCCTAAGTTTGGAAGCACAAATTATTACTGCAAAAAGTTGAAATAGCTGTGATTCTTAAAGTGTTTTGTGGCTGAATAAGACGGGCTGAAGTCCACAAAAATGTAAAGAGAAGTGTCGTCCAAATCTAGGTCGTTTGCACAATAATCTGAAAATCATTTGAAGCCATTTTACAAAAGCATAGCCAGTAATTCAGAAAGAAAAGGGTAATGTTCAGCCTTTTCATTATGTAGCAATAACAGCGTTTTAAAGGGCGAAAAAGAAAAAAGAAGAAAAAACCCCACAACACCCTGCCTACCGGTTTCTTAAATTATGTTAAGGCTAAAGTAAATGTTCTTTATCCCGGGTGGTACCGCCTGAGGTGAAATTCGCTCCAGCTGCCTTCGGGGCGACGGGCGGCTGCGGGAGGCCTCGGCCCCGCCT